TTCCTTTCAGGTTTTTCATCTCAACATCTACCACCTGGTAGAGTGCCTCAGCTTAAACTTCAAAATCTTCTTTCAAATTTTACTTTCTGCATTTTTTTTTCAATCTCTAAAATCTCTTTTTTTCAAATTGTGTCTCTTTATATAGTATCCCATTCTAGTTTCTTTTCTACCTTTTCTTGTCTGCCTGAGGAGATCATTAATCCTTTATCTTTCCCCTGTTCTAGTTTCCCTGCTGTGTGGCAGCTTTTCATTTTGTTATGATTTTTTTTTTTTAAAGATTTATTTATACAAGCACTGGGTACAGTCAGAAGCATGGGAGGGTGAGAGAATTCACCAGAGCCAGAGCGGGGAACAGAATAGGCAGAGTGACGAAATACACTACTGAGGGGAGCAGCGGGCAGCAGGAGAGGTCTGCGCGCCATGTGGGACCCACCCTGGAGACCGAGGATCGAACCGGCGCTGCAGAGGCTGCGGGCAGCTTCGCAACCCAGTGCTCAATTGTTGCACCACCAGGGGAGGCCCCATTTTGTTATGATTTCTGTCTTTCATGTAGGGGGTCTCCCTCATGTGTGTGTCTGTTAATCCTTTGTTTTCTGCTCATGTTTAAAAGTGGAGGCCTAAGAATCTCATTGGGCATTTGTGAGGACAGAGTTGGCTGTGTCCCTAGAAGGTGACATGACCAGGAGTCAGTTATAAGCTGTGAGCCCAGAGCCAAGTCCTCCTCCTCCTCTCTGGAAGGGGAGGGCCGCATCCCACATACCTGCAACACACACATCATCCTTGTTTTCGACAGGTCACTCCACCTTCGCTAGGTCCCAGACCTTCCATCTGCAACCCTCTGCAGGGAGGGTGAGGCAGTGACCCATGATGTGGAATCTGGGGTAGGATTGGGCCCAGACTGCTCACAAGGAAAGTTGTCATGAGCCCTCACTCCTAAGCATCCGGGGCCTTCCCCACTCTTGCTTCAGAGTCCGGCTCTTCTCAGTTCCTTCACATCCACCCATCTACACTCCAACTTCCAGAACATGGTTTCTCCTTCCTTTTTCCTGCTCTTCTAGCCTGTGTGAGATTATTCCTTTCCTAAAAGGGGCCTAGGGAAAGCGCAAAAGAGTGTGCAAGCCACCATCTTTATCCAGAACCCCCTCACTCCTGGGACTGCTTTATGTCGTTGGCTCAATTTTCACTGCTGACCACCTCCTATTCCCATACCTGTGTCCTGATAAAATAGTGCTTCTTAAAATAATTGCTGGAGCCATTTGAGATATTCCTGGTGCTGCTCTGAGGTTCTGCCCCCTCACTTCCAGACATTCACTTTAACAGTCTCCTAAACTTGATTTACACAGTTCACTTTGCTTTTGTTGTTCCTTAAAGGGATTCCTAGTTGAGTAGATTTTAATAGCATCTCCTCTTGCCTAAGTGGGCTCAATTCTGTTATTCTTCAATAATTTCTATTGCCCTTTAATGCTTATTAGGTGCCAATAATTTCTTTTAAAGGTTGAATTATACAGGATCTCTGCTCGCTAAGCTGCCAATCTGAAGCAGTGGGCAGCCATGCCTGTTCATTAGCTGAATCCTCTACTCCCTGTCAAGCCACCTTCATTTCATTAACCTTGCAGCTCTGCTTTGAGTCATAACATTGCTTGTTAGGACAAGTTAGCTGTTACCTCTTACTTGTTAATACAAGTGTTTCGTGTATTGTTGTAACTGAATGTTTTTTGGCCCTTGGCCGAAACGTTTCCTTACTGCCCTCCTGCAGACCTAGTGCAAATTAGAAATGGGTTTTACCAACTCAGTTCAGCTGTGAGCCATTTCCTGGTTACAGCCATTCCTGGTTATTTTGCACCGCTGTATTAACCGCCGGGGCAATGCCATGCCCTCAGAGACAGTCTGGGCTGGACGGTGTTTGCAAGATGGCATCTGGGACAAGTTCCGGCCAAGGCACAGAGACCTGTGTGCTGTGTGCTCGTCCTACAGGGACCTGAGTGGCCACAAACTCAGCCCTAACAGATTCCTTTCCTTTTAAAAATTACTATGTTGTTGTTGTTGTTTTAACTACAGTCACAATTCCCAAATGTTAGCATCCGACTACATGGCCATCAGAATGCGCGGTACACAGGAAAACACAAGCAACAGAGCTGGCTGGTGTGAGCAGGAATGAAGTGCTTTGCTTTAGTTGAGGGTGGGGGTGTGCCATTAATTCATCTCACAAAGCAGGGTGAGCAACCTGTGCTCAGTGGCCCAAACTCCTCCTGACACCTCCTTTTTACTGTCCTCTAAGAATATAATGGATAGTCAAAAAATAATAGTAATAAAAGCTGATAATGAAGAGGAAAGGAAGGGAGAGAAGGGGAGGAGGAGAGAAAGCAAAAGGAAGAGGTGGACAGGAAGAACACGTGACAGCAACCATAAAGCCTAAAATAGTTTCTGGCTTTTTTTTTTTTTTTTAAGATTGATTGATTGATTGATTGATTGATTGATTGATTGATTGATTTATACAAGCACTGGGTACAGTCAGAAGCATGGGAGGGTGAGAGAATTCACCAGAAGTTTTGGCTCTTTACGGAAAGTGTGCCGGCCCTTCACCCAAAGACACTTCTGAATTTGCCTCCTTCCTCTGCCTTCCTGCATGTTCCCTCCCCGACTAGGGCAAGCTCTCCAAGTCTTTCCCAAGACTTTATCAGTTTAAATGTGTATGTATGTTCATGTGTCATTTCCAAAAAATGTAATTGTAAGTAGATAGATTTGAATCTCCAGTTCTTGAGTTGTGACCTCGGAGCAGATATGTAGAAAAGACAAAATTCTTCCTACCTGTGGACAGACCCCCAAGTTGATGATCTACCTAGCTATGATTGCCAACAACAGCTAGATTGTAAACTATGCTTTGGTTAACTCTTTTGACTAAGTTGGAAATACTTGTTTCTCTCTGTGGCTATGAAAGGTGAACAAATATTAAGTTAAAACAAACTTAGGAGAGGGCCTCCCCAGTGGCGCAGCGGTTGAGCACTGGGTTGCGAAGCTGCCCGCAACCACTGCAGCGCCGGTTCGATCCCCGGCTGCCGGGCAAGGGTCCCACCTGGCGGCGCGCAGACCTTTCCTGCGGCCTGCTGCTCCCCTCAGCAGTGTACTTTGTCAGTCTGCCTGCTCTGCTCTCTCCTCTGGCTCTGGTGAATTCTCTCACTCTCCCGCACTTATGACCGAACCCAGTGCTTGTATAAATAAATAAATAAATCTTTAAAAAAATAAGAAAACCTAGGAGATAAATAGCCTTTCTCTTACTGAAAATCTAACCAAAACAATGTTTCCACTTAAACCTTTAACTTGAGAATTAGGTAATATTTTTAAAATCGCCACATTATTCATTATTCTTCCTTACTGTAAATATTAGCCAAGATTTGGTCTTTATCCATAAGAGATGTCCTGGGCTCATCTTCTCATTTTATCGGGTTTTTAGTTTCCATAATATAACGTGTCCACCTACCATGTCTAGGTGAATTTTCCAAAAGCTTCACTCCTATCCTGCCATTCTCTTGCTTAAAATCATCAGCCTTATCAGTGTGGTCCACAGTAAAACGTTAAGCCAAAGGGGTCCTTTGCCCTGTTTTAGGTCATTTAATTCATATAAACACCACAGGAACATGCCAGTTGTCCAGCTTTGTGTTGTCCCATATACCCTGCTGTGATTCCCTGTGTTGTGAGATGTTTTGTGTATTTTGCCTTGAGGTCATTGGCAAATGCAGCCTCTTTATGAACTGATGGTCCCTCGAATGGTGAATTGTTATCCCTATGTTATGAGAAGTGAATTGAGAAAACATTCCAATAGTCAATCAGAAATAAAGCCTGTGAGGCCAGCTTATGTCTTTCATACCCAACCTATGTCCAACATATCACCATGATCCCCATTCAAGATTTATCTTTGGTGGGACCCACGAAGCACATTGCAAATAACCAGTTTAACACACTAGTCCTTCCTTTGCCCCCCCTCCCTGATGCTGATGGAGGAGTCACAGCATGGTCCCAACCTAGGATTTCTCTCCAGCTGATAAAGCAAACTAGTTCTGAGGATAAGCAATGAATTCAAACATTCCTTTGTTATTCCTTTCCTTTCTTTTGCCAGAAAGCTTCATTTGTAAAAATAATTCAAATTATATAGTAATTTCTGTTGTTTATAAATTAGATAATGGGAAACCAGGGGTCAACATTAAGCCAGTGGCTTTGTTTCTTTGAAAATGAGAACATAAAATGGAATGCCATCAAGATGATGGTCTCAGAACCCAGGAGCTTATCCTGTGCATTGGGGGTGTGGGCTTGAGGGTGATTGTTGGTTTTCTTACCTGTTGTCACTGGCAGGGGTAAAAGTAAGAAGAACTTGAGTCCCAGCAGGATCAGAGGTGATTCAGGGGAGGCCAAGAGAGGCTGATAGACCCCCTCATAGGAGGAAATGAACCCATTCATGTGCAATTCATGGATCCTTAATTATCTATGACTATTACTGAAGCCCTCTGCTGGCTGGTAGAGCAAAGGACTTAGATATAACAGGAAGGGTGAAATGAATGGTCTGTTGGGGTATGAAACTTATTCCAAAGTGGAAAAAGTACAATGAATTTTCCTAAAACTATAAAAAAAAACTGAAAAGACAGAGGATATTAATTCATAATAATTGACTTCATCAAGAATCGTTGAAAGAAGTGCAAAATCTTTGAAATCCCTAAAAATCACCCCGTTCCTTATTCCTACTGATCTGTTTTTCTGAATTCTCATTTCTGAGCTCCTCATGATGTTCTTAAAAGACTGGGATAAGGCAAGCACCCTTTCAGAACAGATCTGGAAAGGCTTTTGGAAGGCTCTTGGTGCCTGATGATGGGCTAGACAGCAGCCTGTGCTCCTGCAGTTAATGAGCTTAGATGCTCCCGCAGGGAGCCAAGCATGCCAGCGAGGGACCACGGCTTGGCATAATGCTCCCAAGCAATTAGAGGCTGATTAAGTGTTTATCTTCTTTCCAGGTGGGAAGGAAAGAATGAAAATGAAGTGGGCAGATGTAAAGAGACCGGAAAAGTTCACGTGACTGTGGACCTCAAATACTATCGACCGACTGAAGTGGTAAGGTTTCCCGGGCCACCCGTGCCAGTTGGGAAAATACCCATATTGAATGCCAGGGGGCATCTCCCAGGTCAGAGCACAGCGCCGAATCGAATATGAGACATTATTCTCACCGCAAAGTGCATTGTTGTATAAAGGAAAACAAGGACAAAACACATACAAGGAAAAACTGTTTGATTACAGAAATGGTGACCCACACCTAAGGCAAATCCCATCAGGTCAGTCTCCTGATGCCCATAGGCTGTCTGAATGCCACCGTGGCCTACAGGATCTCCAGGTCTGGGCCCACCACCCCAGACCCTGGCACACACTGGCATGCACACAACTTATGTGCACACACGAAAACCTAAGCCATGTGCCACCTCCCAGGACACCAAGCCCCAGCTCAATTACTGACACCGCGTGTACTAGAATTTCTATTCCTTCCTTTGTATCTACATCAAATGCTACACGTAATTCTATTGTGATGCCTACTGTAATTTATTACATATGCATTTGTTTCTGCCTTTCTCCTTTGACCACATTGTACACTCTCGGAAGAAAAGGATTTCTTAAAAATATTTTAGGCTCTTACAAGGTAGGTGCTAACTGAATATTGATTGGTGGGTGGATGGAAGAGTGGCTGAATTTCTAAAGACTGAAGTTGCTGTTTTAAGAAAGGATCTGTAGATTGTTAGGACATAACATGCCTTGCTTCTAGATTCGTAAAACTCTTAGCTTGCGATGTTCCTTTCGCGTGGTTGGCCCTCTGAAGGGGAAAGAAAGCAGCCTTCTCAGAGGAACTGCTCAAACATGGTGGTGACCTAATGAGATGCACAATAACTGAAAAATTGAATCCTTTTGAACCTCTTTTACTTGTGTTTTGTACCAAATTCCTATCTGTTGTATAATCTTTTGGAGATTAAGAAAACCCCAGTGGAAAGAGATTGAAAGTTAGTATGTCATCGGTAAACACCCTGTAAAATGTCCTGTTTAAAAAAAAAAAAAAAGCCCTTCATTCCATGCACTCGTAAGCAGAGGAGGAAATAAAAAGGAAAGGAAATCACCAGCTCGGAGATGGCTGTGCAGTGCAGGCATTGTCCGGGAGCAGGGCGTGGCGGGCCTCTGACACGGGAACAATGGCTGCCTGTACTCCTGGTGAGTGGGTGTGTGAAGGAGAGGATGTGCCCCCGCTCTGGGGGAGGAAGATTCCAGCACGCTCCTGCTGACACAGCAAGGAGCCCCTTGGCCACCCTGGCATTTGTTCCCCCATCCTGACGAGGTGCCACCAGGCTGTCAGCTTTCTGAAACATTCCTTGCACCAGTCACATAAACCAGCAATGTGTGTCTGTGCTCATGCACAGAAAGTGTCATCTCAGAATGAAAAAATCATGGGGCCAACAGAAACCTCCACCCTTGTAAAGGCTTTAGTAATTCCAAAGCTAGATAGGCTTTAAGCATGACTTGTCTGTCCTTCCTACTCAGGCCAGGGGTGGGATTGATAAGGACAGAGAACAAAAGAATTGGCGGAGCAGGAAATGGACCCTGGGAGGGCACAGGTCTTGAGGTCGCATCAGCCCCTCTTTCTACCATCCCTTTCTCGCTCAGCATTCTTTTGTTCACTGAGATGTCATCACCAGACCAGTTCTGCAACTCTGTTTCCCCTCCAGAGGCCTGAACATAACAGTGGCTTCTTATTTCAAGGCTCGCCTTCTCTTCTCACTGCTCTCCCTCCCCACCCCCATGCCCTTGACTGCTTGACTTGGGGTTTCTAACTGTATTTCCTCTTTCTAAGTCTCTGGCCGCATTAATCTGGTTCGCTCCACTTGGACTTCATCTTCTATTAGGCAAGCTGTGTGGTGACACTAAACTTCTAACCTCGTTCGTAGGGACAACGTGTCTCCCCAAAGCTTGGATCATCTACACAGCATGAGGCTGAACCACCTCAGGTTGTGGCAGTCAGTTTTCTTCCTCTGGAAAGAGGACCAGACAGGCAAGCGCCTCAGGAAGGCGCTTTGCTGAGGTGCAGTGTCCCTTATGGGACCACACTCAGCAGGCTCTTCAGTGTCAGGGCTGAGAAGCACCACATTTTCCTTAGTGCACAGGGCAGGGCAGACAGGAATCCTCCTCAGTCTAAATTGTCTCCTCCCTTCTCGGTGTCTAAGTCCATCTTGTAAGTGCCAGAGGCTTCTTTTCATCTTCCTAGGAGTCCACAAAGTTCACGCTCCTCATCAGCTTTGGGCGTGTAGCCCCAAGATCTTCAGCGTTCAGGGACACTCTGGAGCCAAACGCATAAACAGAGCTCCTCAGAACCAGATGGTTACAGGAGAAAAAAAAAAAAAAAAGATGCCATAAAGGACATCAAAAGAAAACAAAAGCGATGAGGACATCTCAGATCTCAAACGCAGTATCCTAAAGTGGAACTAGAGGGGAATCCATCTATGTCATGTTCCGAACCAAATTCAGACTCATCTAGAAAGTCTTCACTCGGCCCAGGCCAGCAGGACCCAGCAGAGGCCACGCAGAACACACTCTTGGCTCCGCACTTTACTCTTTTCCTCACTGATATAGCCGCCCCAATACCCTCAATTACTTTGCTACCAATGCGAAAAGTCTTAAATGTTTTGTTCCGACTGAGAACTGGGGCATCTCCTAGAGCTGACTGCAGCCTATTCTCCTGGTTCTCTGCCTCTGGGTTTCCCGCACAGCTCTTGATCCCAGAAACTGAACTTTGAATTTCCTATCGCCACTGACTTCAGTATTTGGTGATGTGAGTTGATACTTGAGTATGCATCTCCGAGAATTCCCACCTGGCATGTAGTTTTCTGGGTGTGTGAACACTGACACATGGGCTGGGGGGCTGTACACCCACTCACAGAGGAGGACTGTGGACTTCGGGTGCCCCAGGGCCAGGCTGCGTTGGTTACCGGCTGTGTGACCTTAAGCCAATTACTTAACTTCTCAGTGCCGCCTCTTTTACCCAGTCCTTGACAGTGGGATTAATGATAGAACTTCTTTCAAAGACATTGTTGGAGAATTAACAGAGCTAATTATACAAGATGCTGGTTAGTACAGTCTCTGGCACTCAGTAAAGTACCCAGTATTGATGCAGTTGTTATTCATTGATTAACCACATATTTACCAGATGTTGTGTGAGACCTTGTATGAACTAGACAGACATGTTCCCAGCCCTCCTGGAGGCTAGTTACAGAGGTATAGACCAGTTACTTACATCTAATACATTTGGAAAGGTAGAATTAAATCATTGGTGCCTTGTACTCATTAGACATTTAAAAAAAAAAAAAAGGTAGCAAGGTATAGTCAAGTCTTCTAGCAAATCTTAATATAAAAATAGTCTTAATATGTTCCCTGATTCCTCTACTCTTTATCCTTTCTGAGGCTATTTCTAAAGATTCAGTAGCTACTCAGTGGTATGGAATTTCTATATGAGAAAATGGATATTGGCCAATTTCTTGATCAAGAATAACCCAAAGAATATCTTCTTTTTGTTTAAGAATTCTTAACTTGGAAAATTCACAAAGGCTAGATTCATGAAGTCCTCAGCCTACTGCACCAAATTTTTAACCACACCAAATGGTCAAGCCACTTAAAAAAAAAAAAAAAAAAAAAAACCTAAGATTTTTTTTTTCCCAGAGAAAAACAAACAAACAAAAAAAATCCTTTTGTTCTGCAGAGCATTTTAGCAAATGGCATGGCAACAAACTCAGACCAAAATTGAAATCACATATTTTTCATGAAATGATCCTAATCAAAACCCTACCAGCTGATGCAAGCTAAGCTAAATGCTTTCTTTACTGTATCGTTTCTCCTTAACATCCATTCTTGCCATTGTGTTTCTACTGTCCTCAGTTATGATTGTTTTTTGTTTTATTTACTCGTTTTATATTTATTCCTAGTCTTTATGGAAGTTTTTAAACCATGAGCTAAAATCTAGAACTGAGAAAGCCCTAACTTCAAAGAAGTCTCACAAACTAGTTAAAACCACACCTTCCCTCCGTTAAAACCTGTAGCCTGTTTCTAACCCAATTACTGTATCTTGGGGTTGTTCCCTCCCCAAACTTCTCCTAATATTTTTCTGTAAATGATGTTAAGTTAAGTTAAATGATGTTAAGTTAAACGGCCCATAATTGTTCGCTCTATCTCCTAGCCCTGTTAAGAATCATGCTCTGTAACACGTTCCAGACCTCGGGAATCTGATCTGTCATCAGAAGACTTGGATAAATACCAGTTAGAGCTTCCCTCAGCTCCATCTCTGTGTGTTACAGGGCTTGAAACTGTCCCCTTCTTTTCCCCAGGCTGTTCTCACCACCTTCTCACACTTTGCCCTCCCAGAGCAGGAAATTAGATCTTCCCTTCTCCATCCCTTCATCTTCTCCTGCTCTGCTAGAAGCCAGGCTCCCTGTCCTGAGCCTCCTGACCTCCAGGCGCTAATCCTACCCCTCCTGCTTTTCTTTGTGCTTGTTTTGGGGGTGAGAGGATGCAGAGAGAGCTGCTTAAGGGCTGGTGGCTTTCTTCCTGCATTCCTGGACCTGTAAAAAGAAAGGCTGGCCTGCTTCTTCTGGAAGGCCCCTTCCAATATCCTAGCATTCTCTGCTTTTGTGACCTCCAGACCACAGAGGGGGAATGCTGTCCATAAGGTCTCACCAGAACCATTCCACTTTTCCCATTATTCTCCAAACTTCTTACTACTTGTATTTTATAAAGTTTATATCTCTAAATCACTGTTTATATATTTTAAGCCTCCCTCTTAGACTCCTCAGACTAATCTTTATATCCTTCCTTAATCACATTGGCCTTTCCTGCCCTTTTCCTTCCTTGGACTTAACCAAGAGAGCTTTAAATTTCAGTCTCCTTGGTTGATTATCAAATATTCCACTGTCTTCTACCCTCCTCGGGCTCTCAGGCTAGCCCCCTGGGACATACAGCATTCCTCCTGCACTCTGGGTTCTGGCCCCAGCCACTGCTGCTCTCCAGAGTACTTCATATCTAATGAAGTCTCA